GTTTACAGCCCGAGGACTCTCCATGGGGTCAGTGCAGTAGAGTGTAGGCTGGAAGGTGAGGCAACGTGTCCGCAGGACACAGATGGGGAAAACAACAGGCTAAAATTATTTCCATTGATTTTAATGAAGCTCCACTAGGGATGAATTTAAACCTTTATAAAGCAGCGTTGATCTGGCATTTTACAGCTAGAATCATGTTTCTTATGCTGAATGCCAATGTTCACTTCGCAAATGTCAGAGTTGTTTAATTACTTTATTTCACCTTTTAATTTTTGAAAGTATTTAAAGTGTTGCCAAGGGGTGTTCGTCTGGAAAGGACAAGTCAGTTTTGTGTTCATTCTGTTTTCTTTTGTTTGTATTGAAGTAATGCCTATGTACAGTAGTCATACCTTACTCTATCTCAAGTATAGGTACACTAGGTAAATATTACACATCTTCTATATCGTATGTCGCAACAGGATGAGGGGCTTAGAGTTGTACATGAGAATTGCTTGCAGCCTAGATCTAATGGACAGGAGGAGCCTGGGAAGTCTGGACCTGCACCTTCTGCAAACATGACTGTGGGAGACAGCTTTTTTTTTCTTTTTTCATTTATGAGCTCTTTTCTGCCCTTTGCAGACAGTTGAGCAAAATACGAGTGTTCACACAAACCAATTTTTATTTTGACAGCACTGGAAGGAAGTAACAAGAAACATTAACTATCATGTTTTCGATCAAATGCAGGACAGATTTATCTAGGGAGGTGCAGGGAAACTGCAGCTGCCTTTTCCCTTTAATGTCAGTCAGGACAGGGTGTGCCCACTGTCATATGAGATGTCCACCTTTGGCTGTGGGAGCTCTGAATTTAAACAGTGATAAATGGTATGTTTGTCAATGGATGGCATAACTTAGAATACATTAAAATTAAATATATGCATACTTTTTGTTCTTGAATTTTTAAGGGTTTGTTATGGTGTAGATTTCTTTTACTGTAGCCTCCAGTTGTACCTGATGAGAGGTTTGGCCAGGAAACAGGTCTACACAGGTTACAAGTTGGGCATAGGAATGATTTGTTTTTATGGTGAGTTAAACACAGAAGTTCAGTCAGGCTGAGTCAATCAAACTTATTAGTTCAGGATCATCTTTTGATACAGTGAGTGCTGAGACAGGAGAAAAAAAAGTCAAGATCAGATATTTCTATGACTACACAGCTGTCTCCTTTTAGAAGGCTTTTGGTCATTCTGTGCAGGTCACCCACAGCAGTCAGCTGTTAGACCTTTTCTCTTTTACAGACTGTCCAGGGTCATATTGATCTATCTGTCTAGTTAGTTAGTTAGTTTGTCATTTAGTTAGTTATGCAAATAATTTTAGAAGCACTCAGACATAATTTGAAAACATTTCTGTGATCTAGGAAAGGGGCTACGCTGTCTAGCCTTAAGGATAGCTGCCTTCTCTCTTACCAGAGGCATGTGATTCAAATGCATTTCAGTGGAGTTGGTCTCTTTCACTATGGCAAAATAGTAAGAACCTTACGTCCATTCTGAAGAAACACAATTTTAGAGATGATAAACAAATGTGTTTTAATAAATTGATGTACATGGAAAGAACAAACCAGCAATGACCAATGCAGTCTCCAACCTTAATATATTTTGTGATCGAATCTTCTGTACTGGATTTTTACTAGAGGCAGTTTTGTATTTTGCTTACTAAAAATATCCGAGGGATTTGTTGTGATCCGTGAGGCAGAACAGTTTATAAATTTCCTAAAGGCCTGGGGATAGTGTTCTGCTGATGCTGCTGTTAGACAATATGCATACAGGCGCATCTGCCGTGGCTCATTCCCTGGCCCGTGGCTCTAGTGCTGCAGGGATGGAATAACAGCATTTCTTAGCTCAGTGCTGCTATTAAAAACCTTCTAGGCAGGGAGACTGTTGGTGAGGGGACAGGGACACATCTGTGACATGTCCAGTTGCATAGCGCTCCTGCGGTGAGCCTGGTACAAGAGTTGTTGCTTCAGGCAGGTTTGATCATCTCTTCCAAGCTGCTGGTTCGTCTTGCTGCACCAGGGCAGAAGGGTTCATGCAGAACTCCCATGTTTGGTTATTGCAGAACGTACTGGTCCTGAGAAGTTCCTGAGACTTGGGCCTTCTGCTTGGGACTCCTGGATGTCCTGCAGCAGAATTACATGAGCCATCAATTCCCAGATGCTTTAGCTGTAAGCACAGAGAGGACACCAGGACATGGCCCCAAGCAATTCACAGTGATGTAGGAGTGACATGTCCATCCTGTCTCAGTTTTAATTATACAGCTTCTCTGTTCTCAGGTGGCTTGCCTAGTGGCAGGAGTGGTTGACTCCTTTTCCAGCATAGTGGTGATAAGGTGGGACATGCTCTCTGTGACTTCTCCTGCTTAATTTTCTGCCTGTTTCTGGCCTTCATTTCTAGATGGAAGTTCCAGTATTGAATGAGTTTAAGGCATCAGGTCCCCTGTCCTTCGTGAGGCAACTCTCCTTTACTCCCCTGTGGAGGAGCACCCTCTCTGCCTGGTGCTTGCCCTGAGGACGGATGGGTTGCTCCTTTTCACACTGCAATGCTTGATTAAATTCTTCAATGAAAACCCCAGTCTGTGAGGTGACAGCTGACCCCTTGCTCCAGCTGTAGGCAGCTGGTGGGACGGGCTGCCAGGAGGGCTCCCGGAAGGATGCACGGGGCAGGAAGGGGGTGGATCCTAGAGTGGATGTTGGACTTCCAGGTGCCCCAATTTCCTCTGTAATTAGGTTAATTTCACCTTTAGGGCCTCTGCCTGCTTCTTCCCTCTGAAGGTAAAAAGTAATATCTGTATCTGCCCCCAGTGTTCTGGGGTAAAGCAGAACACAGAGGAAAATCAAGTGATCCCTTTGACACGGGGGCCACCAGTTCATTTTGCGTGAAGTCCTCTTTTTGCTGTAAGATTTCTTTGACTTTAGTAGAATAGTGTTTATTACAAATAATTACATTTAAATGGGCCAGGTTGTATTTGTGCTGGAAGTGGGCACACTGTGCTACGGGGATGGAAACATGTGACAGCGTTCCCTGAGTGGTAAATGTCTGACACAGCTCAGGACGAGAGGATTCGGCTGAGGCCTTGGCTATTGAGATTTCGGGAATGTGTGACCTATTGCTGGAAACAACATTGAATTTCGCCCGTGGTGGTGCTAGACTTGGCTCCCCAGATTTAACTATTTTTATTAGTTGTACACAGATTGATAATTTTACCTTGATGCAGTAGCTGAAGAACTGTAATTACAAGTGAGCGCTTCACAGCGTTTGGTAGTTCTGGAGAGCAATGCGCGTGGGTTTTTTGCAGGTAATAAAATGGAAAATCCAATTTGCAATTGCAAAGCAAGCCCCTGAGTGATACATGATCTTCATCGCAGCACCGGTCAGAGGGTTACGGCTAATCGAGGTGCTGGCTCGCTTCCCCAGCGGCCTCTGCCTGAAAACCGAACAGCGAGCAGAGTGAGCCTGCGCACGGGGCCAGCCAGCAGAGGTTTAGACACACCAGTTTCTAGCTTATTAGGTCCTCGCTGTCACAATACTTAATCCTGCTTCCTGATCCTTGTTAGAACAGAGCTGCCGAGTCCCTTAATAAAGGAGACGGGTGCCGGGCTCCTAACGAGGCGTGCTGAAGCGTGAGGCAGCGAGGGCAATTGCTGCCTGACTGACGGAGGGGCAAAATGCTCCCTGCCTGTTGTGGTCTCAAAAGAGCAGGCCTCAGACAGCTGACAGATGAGTTTGCTGAGGTAATGGCCACTTGTTGATAGGCTGGTACGAGACGCATGACATCTTTTCACATGATATAATGGTCTGTCTTTAATTATGTTAACCCTTTTTACAGAGAGAAATGCATCAAGGATTAGCTGTAATGTAGAACATGCAGGTGAAATGGCCAGCAAGCCCACGGCTGGCAGCAGTTCCCATAGCATGCATGTGTGTATGTGAGTCCATGCAGCTTAGATAAGCACCTTTAATTCTGAAAAGCTATCACGTCAGGTTGATCTCAGATTTTTCTGACAGCTTGGCTCAGTCAGTTTTCAAAACCTTGTAATTTTTTTACTTGCTATAGTTAAAGATGATTTTTTCATTGTTATTGCTACTTTAGATTTCTGGGAAGAGGACAGGCCTCTCTTAATTGTAAAATTCTCAAAAATAAACCTAAAGCTCAGATTTCTTAAATTGTAGAACACAAAATATTTCGATGTCTAGACCATTCTGGAAATTAGCCTGTTGCATCCATAATCATGTAGAGTTTCAGCACAGTATGTACTGTTTTGGATTTGGGTAGTAAACATTTACAAAACAAACAAAAAAAAACACAACCCTGAGTGAACCCCTGATAGGTCTCTTAAGTCTTCCTGTCAGCAGAACAGGTAAAGCTGGCATGTGGCAAGAATCATAAAATCACAGAATGTTATGGGTTGGAAGGGACCTCTGGAGATCATCTAGTCCAACACGCCTCCCAGAGCAACGATGTTTTTTGTTTGTTTTTCCTCAGTACAGAGAACTATAACCACAAATCGGTGGTAGGATCTTGGTACAAACAACATGTTGAGCACTGGTAAGGCAGAAGAACCTGTTTGTTGACATTGTGCCGGGAGCAGTGATCGAGCAGAGCAAGCTTCTACTACAGTGTCATTCTCCTTTCATTCCTGCAAGCCATGGTTGAGAGGGCCCACCACCTATGCGCTGTTAAGCCCTGCTTAAAACTAATTTGAAGAATAAATGTTATATGCTGTTATATGTGTTCAATCCTGCTGTGCAATATGTAGTAGCAGTGAAATCAATAGAGTGGGATTGCATTTGTCACCGTGGGGAAACTACTACGTTCTCCTATTCCTCTCCACTAAGACTGAAATATTTGCTTGTGTTATTGTCGTACTCTGAAATGAATGACAAGTTTTACATTCACAGCAAGATATTTCCTTAAAATTTTTCCTTTTTCTTGATTTTTTTTAATATTCTGCTTTGTTTAATCCCTTTCAGGTAATTTGGATTTAACTGGTCAAAAGCAAGTCTTCAAAGCAGAGAACAATCCTTGGGTTACCCCAATTGCTGACCAGTTCCAGCTGGGAGTATCTCACGTTTTTGAATACATTCGTTCAGAAACATATAAGTAGTAAGTATTCACTTATGTACTGTATCTGTGTTGTTTTGGGGTGGTTTTTTTTCCATAGTGTGTATGACACAGTTTTATCAGCTACACCCTTCTTTCATAATCCGTGCAGTAGCTTGGTATTCAAAGCAAATATGCAAACCTGTACATTTTTGTTAAGGAATTTTGCTGACAAGGAGGTAAATAAATGTGATTTAGGCATGTTAGGAGAGCACAAAGACTATTTGATATTGTCCTACATTTGCTGTTCATTTCTAAGAGCTATTAAGTAACATTAGATGTAAAAGAGCAAGCATTATAAGCCTTTGAGAAGTACTAATTTTAAATATGTATGGTAAGGCTTCATAGATTGAAATAGATATTTGTTAATGTTTATGGATGCAGGTTGTTATGTTTTGAAAGAGATGTCCAGGATTCAAACCTATTTTGATCTGGACTGCTTCACAGAAGTCTGCAAACCTGGTAATTTGTATGCAGATAGTATTACTTTCTTCATCAATGTAACTGGAAAAAAAATAAACCTCATGCTGAGACTTCTCCAGTTTGTTTCAAAATTCTACGTGAAAATGCTAAGCATTTGTTTAGGAAGTAATATATTTAAAATTCATTCACTGAATTGAAATATTTATTTTCAGTAAAATTTTTTATTACCCATCTACAGTAAAACATTTAGATGGGAAGTTATTTTTACGTGTCTGACAATAGCCTTGATGCTGCCTTCCTAGAAGCAGTAGTTCTAGGTTAAAAAAGTTAGGTTTTGCATTTATCCTTTATTTAAAAATACATTTTTGTGATTTAGAAGCATTTCTGACAGGGTTGGGGTTTTTCATATGGTAGATGTCTGAGCTCAATTACCAAAGGAGATTATTCATGAGTCAAGGATTTTTGGATTCCAATTAAGTAACTGAGATGTAAATTTTTTTATGAAACTAAGTGATCGAGCAATGGCTTTTGTAAGCTGTTCTTCATTTACAGAATTTAAGTGGAAAGGATCACAGATGGGAGAGTGGTTACAAAAATTGAGTGTCTCAGAAGTGTCCTGATATTTATACCGTAATAGGTGTTCTCAAGATAGATTTATTCATAGATTTAAGTAGGCTGCAACACCCTTCTTCTGGTAGTACTCTGTACTACAGACACGGTGTAGGGA